ATCTTGATTACTGGAGAAATGCCTAAGCAGTTTGCAAAACCGAATATGGAGTATGCTATCAGTCCATTTAGGGTGATGACAACTGTTGGCAAGTAGGTAAGAATTATCTCATGAACATTTTAAATGGGTTTTAATGAGGATATGGCCATTTCCATAGCTGAAGAAAACAAAATTCAGAAAAATCGACTGACTGGGGCCTGTAACTTAAGTAAACTGAATACCAAAAGGATTATTATTGCCCGAGGCTACAAAATCTAAAATCGATCATGCTGGACTCTTCCACAAGATAAGAAATATCGTCTGTATATCTAATGTGGAGGAAGAGGTTTGCTCCGAAGGGATTCTTTGACCAGATAAAAAGATCCTCCCAATAACCCATTAAAAAATTGGCATAGCATGAAGCAAACTTCAATCTAAAGCTATTCTACAGATTTGAAGATAAAACTTGTCTAGAACCTGAAATTGTAAGCCAGAGCAAAGCATATGCAAAATTAACCACTTCCTGACTGCCCTATAGCAGAAATACTGCTACAGGGTGACACGGGTGTGCAAAATTACACACATATATATATATATATATATATATATATATATAATGTATGTGTGTGTGTTTGTGATTTTGCATTTACGGGTAGGGGACACGCACGCGCCCTACCCGCGTCACCATTTGCGGCCGTGGCTGTTAATCACCGGGTCCCGGCCGGTGATTACTCGCCAGCGCCCGGTGATTGCTGAGGATCTCTGATGGGGAGGAGAACTGTTTATAAACAAAACCGTTCTCTTTCCTGTTGGCTCGTGCACACTGCTTTGGATGGCTGTGCACATATGTTCGACTCGAACATGGGCCGCTCGTTTGTTCACCAAACACATGAATGGTAAGGGCATTCGGTGGACTATTCACCCGCTGAGCCCCACAATGCACTGTGTCTTGACAGTGCATTGTGATTGGCCAAAGCAATGCAATTGACCACAGGTTAGATGCAATGCTTTGGCCAATCACAGCACATGATGACATCACAAGAGGTTGGGCGACCCTGCCTCTAATGATGTCATCACACTATTTAAGAACTGTCATCCCAGCGAAGCTGTCAGATGGTGGGAGCCTGCGTAGAGAACGGAGCGTTTTTCTTTTTCTTTTTTCGGGTGTGCAGTGGTGGCAGGCATCTTGATTGATGTTGGATCTACTTTGGGAGACTTTTTTTTTTTTTTGTGCTAAATGAAGGACTTGTCAAAGACTGTCTCTTGTCATTTTACCCTCCACTTTTTTGTGTGAATAGGTAGCGGTATCATGTATCCCATACTCATTCAAATAGGGGGGGCTGGGATCTGGGGGCCCCCTTGTTAAAAAAAGGGGACTTCCAGATTCTGATAAGCCCCCCCACTCACAGACTCCCACAACCACCGTCCCCCCCACCCTAAAGCACCCCCCCATGTTGAGGGCATGTGGCCTGATATGGTTCAGATCTTGCCCCATACTCAGATGTGGTAAGATACCGCTTAGTGAATTGTCCATTTGAAGTTCACAGGCAAACTTTCGGAGCTTTGACTGTTCGACCATGAACCTAACGGGGGTGTTCGGCCGATCACTAGTTACAAATATAACAGTTGCAGTTGAGAAGGAGCAGTTGATGTTCGTTAGTCTTAGGCTGTATTCACACTAGAACCTTTTGTAGCTCAACATTTGAAGCTACAAAATGATCAAAAATAAAAAAATCAATTATTCTCTACAGTGCTTGTTTGCACCTGAATGCCTGTAGCTCAATGTCTGTAGTTTAAAAAAATTTGGGAGCATCATTTGTAGCTCAAATTAAGCAGAATTAAGCATTTTGCGGTTTGTTTTGAGTACCATAGAATTGGACAAAAACGTACAATGCATGTTAGTGGTGCATCGAAATGAAAATTCAGGATGCACTTGGCCGAAAACTGAAACCGAAACGGACAGTTTTTAAATATTATTATACTTTTCAAACACAATTTTTTTTGGGAAAAAAATATACTTCAATAAATAAAAAGAAAAAAACACAATATATACCCCAATTTATTTGTAACATGAAAGATGGTGTTACACTGAGTAAATAAATACCCAACCTGTCACGCTTTAAAATTGTGCACGCTTGTGGAATGGTGTCAAACTATGGTACTTAAAAATCTCCATGGGTGATGCTTTAAAAATTTCTACACGTTACCAGTTTAATGCTACAGAGGAGGTCTAGTGCTAGAATTATTACTCTTGCTCTGACGTTCATGGCAATACCTCACATGTGTGGTTTGAACACCATTTACATATGTGGGTGTGGTCTGTGCATGCATTCACCACTACACCAAAACTTTTTGTTTTATTTATTTACACTCTCTTTATCCAATATACACTGTAATGGTTGAAAAGTCACCTGTCCAATACGGTCACCGCAGGCCGATTGGACAGAGGATTAAACAAACACAGTAGTGTCTCTTCAAAAGGCAGGAATTCGTGAATTGCAAGTAAGCGCTTAGAAACAGTTTAACACTTTCAGAAAGAAAGATTTATTACTAAAAGAGTCAAACAGGTGCAATAAAATATTTACAAAGAAAATGTAACTAAGATATATATATATATATATATATATATATATATATATGCATAGAAAACAGTTCAGCACAGATATAACAGGGAGAAGTTAAAAGGTTAAGTTACTTGCCATGTTCAGCCTTAAGGTAAGCAGATCCAAGTTGCAGAGTGAAAGGGGTCTTTAATCTCCTGCTGTTACGATGTTAAAATTAGGAGATCTCTTTAGCTTAACTCAGGCCTACAGTCTGTGTTTTTTTAAAGTCCCCCAACAAGGGGGGTGGCTCTGAGTAACTGGCCAATACCTGTTTAGGGAGGAATGTCGGGTGGGCTCTGAATTAAAACCAACATCTGTCATATTCCATGATATGAAACACAGGGGAAAACAAGATCTGTTAAAAATGTTATTATCTTGTTTGTGCTTCTGGGGAAAGCCTTGAACTCTTGAGAAGGTTCTGCCATCCTTCCCCGAGGTGTGAAATCACACAGGTCCCTTGGACAGAGAGGCTGCTGTCTCTATAGGGGGGGCTGTCTCTTTGTAGGGCTGGGCCCCCCTGCTGCTCCAGCCTGCCAGCAACTTTTAACACTTACACATCTGTCCCTGTGCCTCTTAGGAAGGGAGGGGGTAGGGAATGAAGGATTGAGGAATACTTTTAATAAAAAGGGGAACTCAGCATCCAACTCTAATGAGCAAGTTTTCTACACCTCCCCCTCAGGTAGTTGCCAGGGAGGGACTACAACACTGCTGGGCCGACCAAGTGAGTGGTCACGGGTGGGTACCAGTCGGCTGTGGCGATCCGAATACCGTGGCAACTGCCGGGGTGCCCACCTGTTCACAAAACACTTAGGCTCAGGGGTGTCATTTGCTAACATATTAATATGTAGCTTCTTGTCGAGGTAGAGAAGGAGATTTCCCTCCCCTATCTTCTTTCTCAGGCTTAGGACTACCTCTGGCCTGAAGGTAGTAGCGCCTGTGTGCACCGGAACCGGACAGGCCAGTTCTGGACCTCGCCTTCCAGTGGTGTCCACAGGTACCTTCATCCAAGATGGACAGTTCTCGTTACCTGCTAGCATCCAGGACACCAGTTCCTCCAGTTTCCTGTCTGCTAGGTCAGTCACAGGTCCAGCTGAGCCATGATTGTCGCATCCAGGCGTCTTACCGTAGCCAGCTGCACCCACGACTGACGTAACCTGCTTTTTGGCCTGGGGAGCAGATCAGACCACAACTGCCTCAGTCTCCCAATGCCCAGACCTCTGGGGGTCTCTTCTTACCGGGGTGTTTCCAAAACGGAACCACTGACATGCCCTCTGACAGTTACCCTTCTCCACTGTCAGACTGGGCACGGGCGGTTGGTTCCAGACTAGTGACAGGGGCCCAAGTTGCTCTTCCCAGACAGGGCCGAACACCGCAAGGCCCCTAAAGTGGGCAACTTCACCCAGTTCCACTCCGCATTGCGGACCATTCCTGACTGCTGGAGAGGCGGTTGGCGCGTTCTCAACCCCAACTAGCTTTCCCGTGGATTCAGGCAAGCCACATGGGGTAGCAAAGGCTGGTTCGTCTTGAGCTTGCTGGGTTAGAGATGGTGGCCCATGCTCCTTGCTCAGGTCCATGATGGCAAAACAGCAGGCACCATCTGGATGCTCCATTAGCTCATGGCTCCTGGGCATGGGGCAGGCCACAACCACAGGGCTGGCGCTCAGATTTCCAAGGTCCTCAAAAAGCCTGGTCATCGGCTCCTGCTTGAAGACGGCGACTACTGGGGATGCCCAGACTCTAGCTGACCCCTGGATTCCTGACTGTGCCATTCCCTTGGTCTCTGTGGCCCAGTCAGCCTGCACCTTCTGAATCCAGACACCATCTATCAGAGGCCTGGCCAGCAGCTCCGGAACCTGAGTGGCAAGGAAGGGTGATTGGATCTGGGCCCTGCAGCCCTCTCTCTGTAATCCAAGCATCAACCCTCCTTGCACTCGTAATCCAAGCATGCTGTCACTGCCCATGACACATGTTTGTCTGCCTGTTGACACGCCAGGACACATGAGATCACATACCAGGCTCCCAGCCCCCAGTGACTAGGCCAGTAGTCCTGTCAAGCCTGTGTTGACTCTTCCCAGCAGGGGAGTTCATACCTAGCCCTGTACTGAAATCTCCATATAAATGGCTTTCCAGAGCTGCCTTACTCATGGGACTTCAAGTCCCAGCTAGCTCACCTCTGAAGCTCCTTTGAGAATTGCTTTTCAGGGTTGCCTGGAGCGAGGAACTACAAGTCCCAGTTGCCTGTTGTGTGCCCTCCTTAGCAGGGCAACTCACAGCTAGCGGACTTCTGAAGTTCCTTTGGGAATCACTTTTCAGTGCTGCCTGAAGCCTGGAACTACAAGTCCCAGCCGGCTGTTGTGTACCCTTCTTAGCAGGGCAACTCACAGCTAGCGGACTTCTAAAGTTCCTTTGGGAATCGCTTTTCAGTGCTGCCTGAGGCGTGGAACTACAAGTCCCAGCCGGCTGCCTAGTCCTATGCAAGGCCAACGGCTGGGCACTTATCAAGGCACAATCTTTTGGGCCCGGGCAAGGAACAGGCCTTTCCAGACCATCCCCTTGCTCAGCCCCCAGAGACTGTACCTCTGCCCCGTCACAGCACTGTGGGTGACCCCCAACAGTGAAAATACATCATTTGTCTCATCATGAATATCACAATCATTGTTAGCATTACCAACCATACCATCAACAATACTGACATCAACGACATTACTGACTTCACTATCAAGGTTACTGACATTATCAATGACATTACTGACTCCACTATCAAGGTTACTGACATTACTGACATTACCATCAATGTTGCTGACAATATTACCATCATCCCCATCTTCTTTACACCCATTATCAACAGTCACGTTCATAATATCAATGACACATGAGTTCAATACCTCCACAGGCAAGGGGATTTCTTCTTGTTCTCCAGCTAATGGAGAATCCTGTAGCCCCACACCATTCCCAGCCCCCTCCCTCTGTAAATCCACCAGTGGCCCAGACATTACCCCAATATCTGTCCACAGTACCTTGGCTTGTCCAGAGAGTTCCAGGAGGCCCTTCCGGGTATTCTCGGCAGGGGCATAATAGGAAACAAGAGTGCCCAGGTCAGCACCCAGCAAAACAGGAGTGGGAATTTCCGCGGAGACCCCCACCTCCTGCATCCCCCTTCCCGCACCCCAATCTAGGAATACCTTTGCACAGGGTATGCGTGAACGGGTCCCCCCAACTCCTGTGAGGGTAAGGAACTTTCCTGGGATGAGGTTCCCTGGCTCAATCAGCTCGGGCCGGATCAAGGTGACTTCTGCCCCGGTGTCCCGGAAACCAGTTACAGACTGGTTGCCCATGGTAACTTGCTGCAGGTTGGCGGGGGTTACCTGCATCTTCCTGCGAACGAACAGCACAGAAGAAGAGTTGCTGGCCGGCTGGCCGGATGATGTCATCTTCTTCTGGTCAGGACACTGCGTCCTGAGATGTCCGGCTTTACCACAGGTGAAACATTGGCGGGTGTCAGGCAGGAATGGCTTGGCTCCAAGCGCTGCAGGTGTGGGCGGAGGAGAAGCTTGACTCACCGACGTGGGAGAGGTTGCTAGGGACGATTTCCCCCCTTTCCAGCCATTTGGAGGTGCCTTGCGAGGGTCAGACACCCGCGTGTGGACAAAGGTATCTGCTAGGTCGGTCTGCTGCAGCTTTAGTAGATGCTGGCTCCCTCTCCAAGACAAACTGTCTGACGTCTGCCGGGTAAATGTGCAAGAGTTGATCTCGTATCATGAGATCTTACAAAGACTCATAGGAATCAGCTTTCAGTCCCTTAGTCCACTGCCGGAATGTGGTGCGTAAGCGACTTGCCACATCCGTGTAAGAGTCCCCAGGTCCCTTCTGCATGGACCTGAACCGCTTGCGGTACACTTCCAGGGTCATCTGGTACTTCCAGATGATGGCATCTTTTAAAAGTTCATAATCATCATCTTGCCCCTCTGGCAATTCAACAAAAGCTTCCAGGGCCTTGCCTCTTAGCCCTGGTGTCAGGTATCAAACCCATTGAGCTGGGGGCACATGGTACTGACGGCACGTTTTTTTCAAAGGACAGTAAGTAGCTGTCAATGTCACTGTCCTTTTCCATCACTGGAAACTTGGCTGCGCCCATGGAAAGAGTGGCGTCCCTGTGATCTAGGGACCCGAGGTTCTGACCCGGTCGCTGTGGCTGGAGCCTTGCCATCTCCAGCTCATGCCGACGATCAGCTTCCCTCTGCACCACCTCCCTCTCAGCCTGGCGTTCCTCTCTCTCCTGGGGAAGTCACGTGTACAAGTGTACAGGACACTATTTATAAACCAAACAAAACTTTTTTTAAAATAACACCAAATAAATAAAGTGTTTAAAGTGGCACTAAGTGAATTAATCAATAATAAGTACAAAACCATATAATAAAAAAAATCTCCTGAATGCCCATAAAACTCAATAGTGATAACACAAATATATGAATAGTCCGTGACTGCTGTAAAAAAACAAATGACAAACTTAAAAGTGACGGAAAGTCCATGAAAAAAGTGTAGTAAAGTAATCCAAAGTGCATGAAAGTAAATCTTCTATTTCACAATGTGCAGCAAACTGACAACAAAGTGCTCCATAGGATTCCCCACATGGATGTAAACTCACCAAAAATATTTGCCTCCACTCTTGTGGTTGGCAAACAAGCTTCCTGGGACATATTTCCATTTAAAGATGAATATAGATCACTGAAGATAAAGATTCCACACACAGCACGCGCATGTGTCAAAAATTTCAGCCCGCGCTACCTGATGAAGGAACTCGGCAGTGAGAACGAAGTCTAGAAAGTCAGGAGAACCTCTTCTGCCTTCCTAGCCTTCGTTCTTGCTGCCAAGTTCCGTCATCAGGTCGCACCAGCAGAAACTTTTGACGCATGTGCGTGCTGTGTGTGGAATCTTTATCTATATGTCCCAGGAAGCTTGTTTGCCAACCACAAGAGTGGAAGGCAAATAATTTTGGCGAGTTTACATCCATGAGGGGAATCCTATGGAGCACCTTGTTGTCAGTTTTCTTCACATGGTGGAATAGAAGATTTACTTTCATAGACTTCGGATTACTTTACAACATTTTTTTTCATGGACTTTCCATCACTTTTATGAAAACGTTTATGTTTGGTATTTTGCCTGTTGTCTAGTCTGTGTGTCATGCACATTTTCCTATGTTCTGTGCGTTCAAAGACCCTGAAGGCATGGAAAAAAAATACCTGCTGACCAACCAGGAATGCACTCTCCCATGCTCCTAAGTCCTGTTATAAGCTGACAACACACAGAGTTGTGAACCAAGTGGTGTCAGCCCTGCCTATTTTGTTTTGCCAAGCCATTCAACCACTCCCACTCTCAGATCTCTGCAACGTAAAGAATTATTAATCTGCAGTTCCAAGATAACAACTGGGAGGACTAATTAGGCACCCTGAGATAACACAGAAATTCTGCATACAACCCAGGACATCCCTGAAATTCTAATATGAACAACTGTTTTTTTATTTGCATTTATCAAACAGATATAAAAACAATATTTTCAATTGTATATGTAACATTCCAAAAGGAAGAAAATAAAAAAGTTTTTAGTAGGTTTGACATACATTTTAAAACCAAACATGGAAGGAGAGGAAAAAGAGAAAAGCTGACAAGTAGTCAGATTCTCAGTGGTTTCATTGTTTCTATAGTCTGTTAAAGGATACCTGTTGTAAGCAGTGGTGTATTTAGGTTTTGTGCTGCCATAGACAACACAAAAAAATCAGCGCCCCCCCCCCCCCCCCCAAAACCAGGGAGAGCCTGACACCAACATCCTCCCCTCCCGTGGAGAGAGCCTGACATTTACCAACAAACCCCCCTGCCCCCCCTCCACCACCCGAGATACACCATCCTCCGACCCCCCTTCCCGTGGAGAGAGACAAAGACACTAATCTGCCCAGATCCAGACATCCCCAAGAATGAGAGTCAGGGCCGTGCATACACTATCACGCCATCAGCCTTCAGCCTCTCTCGGATCCCCCCTGGTCGCTATGCCACGCGTGCCCCTTCTTCCGAGGGGTATTGCTGCCCCTCTGAAATATGCCGCCCTAAGCAAATGCCTTGTTTGCCTTGTGGTAAATACGGCCCTGGTTGTAAGAGAAAGCTATCAGCTGCTATTGCTGACACTGCTGGCAATGTTATGGTGCTTTATGGACACTGTCATGTGATGGTCCCCCTGCATCATCCTCTGGACCCCCATCATCTCTTACACCCTCTGCTGTCAATCAGAAAGTCACACACCTGTTACAGCCCCACCCACAAATCCTATAATAAAACTCTGGAACACAGCTCAGGTACAGCACTCATGCAATGTTAACGGGGCAGAATTTCTACTTTCTGACGGTTTCAGATAGCAGTATTTTTCCTTGATAGAATACATTTATTACAACCCACTCTACTTGTTTCCTGGAATTTCCGGGACTTTTATTACAGATTTTCCTTCTCACAAAAAGAAAACATTCTTTAAGTCTATTTTTAGTGTAACCTTTCTAATGGACTGTTGCCAGTTTAATGATCATTGTAAAATGATTGCCCCCCCCCCCCCCCCCCCCTGCGATCTAAAATTGCACGATTCGTGTGCAATTTCAGCGCGATTTCAGGTGCAATTTCTGAAGACTGTATTGCTACTTGTGAAAATTTTCAATGATTTCTTGCAATTTGCATTGTGATTTCCATTATATTCTATGTATGTGAAGTCGCAACAAAACTGCAGAAAAAGTAATGCAAGAACTACTTTAGAAATCGCACTGCAGCAGATTGCAAATGTTAAGGCACTGACATTCGCATTCATTGGATGTGATTTCAGGTGCGATTTCAATTCCCAAATCACACCTGGATCAGACCTACTAGGCATTTTACTGCAGGTCTTTCAACACATATTTTTAACCTTTCAATGCAGCCACCAGGATTGTGTCTAAAACTGCGTGTGGCCATGTATTCTGGTCTCTGTTTGCCCATTGTCAGACACCGGCTGACATGATGGGTGCCGCCAAGACAGAAGAGTGGACACACAACCCCTCTCCTCCCCTTCTTGCTGTGACCCAGAAAGCGACATGTATGACATCACTTCTGAGTCACCATAATGTATCCAGTGAAGCCCAGAGGAGACACTGGGGATCTTTTAGACCCTGCATGTCTCACCTAAAAATCATCACATAGTGGATTTTGTATCCCATATGCGATGAAAAAAAAGGTAAGTTAAAACCTTTTTTTTTTTTTTCATTGCAAAAAAAAAAAGCACATTACATCACCATCCCCCCCAAAAAAATTTGAGAGGCCCCCTATCCCCACATGTTACACATGTTACATATATCGCCTCACATGCCGGAGTGAGACCAATAATTCTAGCACAATACCTACTACATAACACTAAACTAATGACCTGTAGGGGCTTTTGAAGCGTTGCCTACAGAAATTATAGGGTACTATAAGATTGCCGCCATTTCACAGGTGCACACAAATTTAAGGTTTGGCATGTTGGGTATCTATATACTTCGTGCAACCTCGTCTTTTATATTCTACCAAAAATGTGGGTAATTTATTACATTTGTTTGCCCTAAAATTCACTTTAGTGTGTTTTTACTGAAACTGTGCATTTCCTAGACCTTTGCGGTAATATCGTGAGACATAAAAAATTGGAAGTACCGTTATTTTTTTCTCTAGGGTCTCTGCTTTCAGAAAATTATAATATTTGGGGGTTTTGTGAAATCTTCAGGCCTAAAATTATTTTGTAAACGTGTGCGAAATATGCAAAAAAAACGGCTCTGGCAGCGAAAGGGTTAAA